TGCAGACCTGCTGCAGGACAGGAGAGGTGCCGATCTAGCACAGAGGAGGGCCCTTGGGGTGCGTACCTGATACAGAGCAGGATGTTAGGAGGTGTGCAGATCTGGTGCAGGGGAGGAAGACGGAGGAGAGTCTGTGTAGGACAGTAGGGCAGCGTCTGATGGCTGATCCCCCTCACAACTTCAAAGTGAAATCTATTTTTTTTCTTTTTTTAGGGGAAGAGGTAACTAGGTCTATTTGTCTACTTATTTCTTAAGTGGAGGTACTGGGGATTGAACCCTGGACCTTGTGCCTGCTAGGCAGGCACTCGTACCACTGAGCTATCCCTTCCTCCTCAAAGTGAAGTCTAAAGCATTTATTGTATTATGTTTCACACAGAGTTTATAAGGAAAAAACCCCCAAAAGCTACAGATGTCCTACATAGCAATTATTCAGTTGAAAAACATTTTAAATAATTATTTTTCCTTTTGCTGTTGCATTTTACCCCCAAGTTGTCTAGAACATTAGGTAGTCCATGCACAGTGAATGAATAAATGACTGAGTGAGTGAGTGAGTGAGTGAATGAATGAATAATAATAAATGAGTACACGGACCAGTTGCGTTAAACCAAACATAAAGCTACGTTCCTATAATCCAGCATAGTGATCCCCCCGGTACTGCATCTCAGTTTCCTCACAAAAGAAGTAAAATTCTCTCTTCTATAAATTAGCAGTTTTTGCTCAACAACTGCTTTGCCTGCATATTTCAATGTTTAAGTTCCCATTTGAACTGCTTGAATTATGCTTGACACAATTGTCCTAAAATGATTCTGTTAAGAAGAGACTTAAGTTCTATATTATGGCAAAGTCAGAAGCTCCATGTCTGACTGAGGTCTGGTCGGTCGCAGAGTTGCTGCACAGCAGGTGAGAGAAATTTGCAGAGGAAAAAAAAAATCACGTAGTCACTGAGACAAAAGGAAATGTGAAGCAAAGTATGGTGCAGTGTAACTAGGTCAAAAAAAAAATCTAGGATTTCAGGAAATCTAAAGTCAGAATCAGACACTTTGCTCCTTATTTTTGGGGGGATTTTATAAATTTCTGAAGAGACATGTTAACAAGCCACATTCCGGCAAATAGACAAACACGGCAATTAGAGTACATACCATTGGTTCCACCTTTTCTGCTCTTCCAGAGAGTAAATCTGAGCCACACCAGCTGAATGAATCTGCTCTTACCATTCCAAGGCCAGGGAAGTTAGGTTTAAATCCTGGAGGCAGGGTGGGCAAGTTACATCATTGTGTTCTCTAGGGAGTTGATTTAAATGTCTCTTCTTGAATCCTTCATAGTATTGAACAAACATAGAAACTAATAGGACTTAGGAAAGTCAGGAGGAACTTTCATGTTTCTTATTTATTCATATTACCCCCATTTGGCATCAGTGCAACCCTGGAGTTCTCCTTTTTAAAAGACTCTCTCAGAATCTACCGGTTTGTTTTTTTGTTTTTTCATTTGTTTTGCCCCTTATATTGTAACTTTTCACTCATGGTACACGTGGGAATTGAACTGTCTGTCATTTAAGAGCTGCAGCTGCCAAAAACCAAATGTATCTACCTTTTTCATAAAGATACTGTACATTTTTAAAGTTCAAACTTGTATTTTTCAATTTATAATATTTTTCTGTTTTTTATTTATAACATTCTCCCTCCTCTCTTTGTAAAAACACATCTGAATTTCAGAAAGGCAGTATCATGTGGAATTTTAACACCAGATGAGTTAAAACATCTCTGAGATTACAAATACTTGGCAGTTCGAGATTTGTAGATACTGACAGGTAGATACAGAATAGATGAACAAGTTTATATTGTGTGGCGCAGGGGAATATAGTCAAGATCTTGTAATATCTCAACGTGAAGAAGAGCATGAGGGCGACTATATGTATATTCATGTCTGATTGAAAAACTGTGCTGTACACCAGAAGTTGACACAACATTGTAAACTGACTATAATAAAAATAATATAACTCAATAATAAAAAAAACCCCAAATACTTAAGAGAAAGTAGGTTGGGATTATCTAAGCGGACTTCTCAGTTTTCATAGGCTGAAAATAATATATTGGCTCATAATCAGTTCAAACACAGGTTGTGAGCCGGTCAATTTCAAGGGCAGTGTCAGGATCCTGTATTTTTCCCTTGTGATCGCTTCCACCACTCCTATCTAAGGGTTCTATACTACGTTTCCCAGAAGCACTATCCTTTCATTATTCTAGGTTAGAGTTTTACAAGGACAGGAGTCTCATTCAAATGAGGAAAATGGAAGTGAAATGGGGAACATAATTTCTTGTGGTCTGAGATGTGGCTTCTGCAGAAAGCGGAGCTTTTCCTGATGTGGAAGTCTCACCGACATTTCTGTGAGTCTTAAGATTTAGTCCCATTTTGGGTATCCAATGCAAGTAGTTTCTCAGACAATGCCATGATTCCAATTTCCCCACCCATGCCAGTTTCTCAAAGTCAAGTGGGACTTAGTATTTTTCCAAACTTCCATGTGACGGCTGCCAGATCTTCCTATGTGACTGAAATATTGTGCTGTACATCAGAAACTGACACAGCATTACAAACTGACTTTACTTCAATAAAAATATATTTTAAAAAAAGAATAAAAGAAGAAGGCTAACTGTTCCATCAGATGTTTACAAGTATCATAATTAACATCAATTAAACAAGATAGTTTTTAAAACTTAGTGATAGATAATTGGAACAGAGGAGATAGGATGGAAACTTAACCTTAATCTGCTTTGGCTCCTGGTGTAAGAATTCTATCCTGCCTTCTTGTGCAATCCCATTCCTTCCCACATGCATTGATCATCACCTAGCCCATGACTTCAGGACTCTTCTCCCTGCTGAAAGCCTGATTCAGGTACCCAGGGTTCCTGCATTGTCTCTATTTCCCTGTCTATTGGGAGACTTGAGTCCCAGACTTCAGTTCTAAGTTTCCTCTCCAACATGCCCTGCCCCAGTACCCTGAATGCATCCACAGAACTCTACTGTTAACACCTCTGTCATCACGCCTTCGCTCGGTCACTCACTACATGTCT